CGCACTTGTTGCTGCTGCTGCTGCTGCCGCTGCAGCGGAGCAGCGCCAGGCGCCTGCGGCTGTTGCGCCGGCTCCCCCCCGTACTGCTGCAGCAGCTGCTGCAGCTGCTGCAGCTGCTGCAGCTGCTGCAGCTGCTGCAACTGCTGCAGCTGCTGCAGCTGCTGCAACGCGTACTCGTCCACCTCCTGCTTCGGCTGCCCTTGCTCCGGCTGCTGCAGCAGCTGCTGCTGCGGCGGCTGCGCCACATGCTGCTGCGGCGGCTGCACCACTTGCTGCTGCGGCTGCTGCAACACCTGCTGCTGCGGCTGCGGCTGCTGCAACACCTGCTGCTGCGGCTGCGGCTGCTGCAACACCTGCTGCTGCGGCTGCGGCTGCTGCAACACCTGCTGCTGCGGCTGCTGCTGCTGCAACACCTGCTGCTGCTGCTGCTGCTGCTGCTGCTGCTGGTCAGTCAGGTGCCAAAGCGAAGGGCCCCACAGTTCTTTCGGAGGATTCGCCCCTTCTGCTGCAGTGCTCCAAGGGGCTGCATTAGGCAGCGGCGGCAGCAGTTGCTGCTGCTGCTGCTGCTGCTGCTGCTCTGTAGGAAACAGAGAGAACAACTCCGATGGCAAAAGGCTAGGCAGGGGCTGCTGCTGCTGCTGCTGCTGCTGCTGCTGCTCATACTCGTAGTAGAGGGACTGCTGCGGCGAATCTTGAGGATTCTGCTGTTGCTGCTGCTGCTGCTCCGGGTATGGTTGTTGCAGTTGCTGCTGCTGGTCTTCGGAGGGGTGCTGCAGGTGGTAATATTGGTGTTGCTCCTGCTGCTGCTGCTGCTGCTGCAACCGTTGTTGCTCGTAAAGCTGCTGCAAAGAATTTTCCTGTTCTAGATTGGACTGGTGATGTTGCTGTTGCTGCAGCTGCTGCTGCTGCAGCTGCTGCTGCTGCAGCTGCTGCTGCTGCAACTGCTGCTGCTGCTGCTGCTGCTGCTGCTCCTGCTGCTGCTGCCGCTCCTGCTGCTTGTGCCGCTCCTGCTGCTGCTGTTGCTGCTGCTGCTTCTGCCGATCACGCACAAACTGCTGCAGGTACGCCTGCGAGTCGTAGGTTAGCTGTTGCTGCTGCTGCTGCATCATCTGCTGCTGCTGCACGTCACCCTGCTGCTCCTCCTGCAGCTGCTGTCCTGGGTACATTTCCTGATCAGCGAGTAGCTGCAGCAGCAGCATCTGCTGCTGCTGCTGCAGCAGTTGCTGCTGTATCAGCTGCTGCTCTGCGTTCTCCACTTGCTGCAGCTCCTGCTGGAATCCTTCTGCTTCCTGCTGCTGCTGCTGCTGCTGCCCTGCGCTGTCCTGCCCCTCTAACTCTTCTCCTGGCGCCTTCCCAGCTGCTGCTGCTGCTGCTGCTGCCGCTGCAGCGTTCGCTGCTGCCTCATTTGCTGCTGCTGCACTTGTTGCTGCTTCTTCTGTTTCTTCAACTTCTGCTTTTGTTTCTTTTGCTGCTGCTGCATTCACATCTGCTGCCTCGCCTGACTCTTCCCTTCGCTGCTGCTCCATTTGCTGCTGCTGCAGTTGCTGCTGCTGTTGTTTGTGGTGCCTCTGTTCAAGGAAATCCTCACGGGGCCCCTCTGGGGGCCCCCCTGGGGGCCCCTCTGGGGGCCCCCCGGGGGGCCCCCCTGCGGCTCTTCGTGGGTTCAATTGGGGGTCTTCAGGGCCTGTTGAGGAGTAGAGAGTTTGGCTGGCCAGAGGGTACAGTTGGCTGCTGTTTGCTGCTGCTGCTGCTGCTGCTGCTGTTTCTGGTGCTGCAGCAGCAGGAGACGCCACAAACCAAGGGGTGGGGGCCCCTGAGGAGCTGGGGGGCCCCTCTTGAGGGTACAGGGGGCCCCCTGAGTGGTTTGTGGGGTTTTGGGTTTGAGGTGCATGCGCTGCTTCGGACAGCAGCAGCTGCGTCTCTGCTGCAGCAGCAGCAGGAGAAAATAAGAAGCTGAGAGTGTCTTCGACTAAATCGTAAGCTGCTGCTTGTCCGGCGACTTGCTGCTGCAGGAACTGGTGCAGCAGCTGCTGCTGCAGCGTCTCGAGCTGCGGCAGCTCCCCCGGCCCCTGCTGCTGCCCCTGCTGCTGCTGCTGCTGCTGCTGCAGCGCAGCAGGAATGGGGCAGTTGGCACTCGTGGACAAGTAGTTGGGGGCCCTTTGAATTGCTGCTAATGCAGTGTATCTGTAACAAGTAGCAGCAGCAAGATTGAAGGAGACAAAGTGGCAGGGCTGGGGGACCACTCGCATTTGGTGCATGCGCGCGCCGTCTGCTGCTGCTGCTGCTGCAGCAGCAGCAGCAGCAAGCTGCTGCCCCGCGCGGCACGAGGCCTGGCAGGCACTCAAGCTGCTGCGCTGGTCCACTTCCGAAGGCAGCCCCGTAATCTTGGTGTGCTGCAGCAAACAAGAAGGAGCAGCAGCAGCACGAGGAAGCAAACTTTGAAAGTTCAGGGGCCCTTCAGTGCTTCCTGCTGCTCCTGCTGCTCCTGCTGCTGCTGCTGCTGCGCTGCCTCCCGCCGATCCCGACGAGGGGTCATAAGGCCCCACTGGTCTCCCTCCTGCTGCTGCTGTTGTTGCTGCTGCTGCTCCTCCAGAGCCCCCCACTGCTGCTGCTGCTGCTTCACTCAGCAGCACCTGCCGCAGCCCTGCGCGTTCCCTCAAGTTTGTTAAAGGCCGCAGCAGCAGCCGACTGACAGCACCCTGCTGCTGCTGCTGCTGCTGCTGCTGCTGCTGATGTTCGTGCTGCTGCTGTTGCTCTTCAGGCTCCTCCTGCTGGTGTGTCTGCTCCTGCTGCTGCTTCACGGCGGCTAGCTGACGCTTCACACCCTGGTGTTGCTCTTGCTGCTGCTGCTGCAGCTGCTGCTGCTGTTGCTGCTGCTGCTCTTGGTCCTTCATTTCAGCTTGTTGCGCCTCGGTGTTTAGCTGCTGCTCTAGCTGTAGTCTTTGTTGCTGCTGCTGCTGCTGCGTTTCGCCCATTTCTCTCTTCTGTTGCTCTCCCTGCTGCTGCTCCCGTTCTTGCTGCTGCGGCTCCTTCAACTCCTGCTGCTGCTGCTGCTGCTGCTGCTGCTGCTGTGCCTTTAGGCTGCTGTTATTTTTGCTCCACTCTTGCTGCTGCTGCTGCGGCATTAGCAAGCGAGGCAGCAAGGTTGCGTTGGCATCAACCTCGTGCTCCTGCTCTTGCTGCTGCTGTTTCAGCTGCTCTCGAGGCACCGCTTGCTGCTCCAGCTCCTGCTGCTGCTGTTCCAGTTGCTTTTGCAGCAGCTGCTGCTGCCAATCCCGCTGCTGCTGCTGCTGTTTCAGTTGCTCCTGAAGGCGTTCTTGTTGCTGCTTTTCCTGCTGCTGCTTCAGCTGCTGCTGCAGACGCTGTTGCTGTTCTTCCTGCTGCTGCTGCTGCAGTTGTTGCTGTTGCAGCTGCTGTTGATGCTGCTGCCTCAGTTGCTCCTGAAGTTGTTTTTGTTGCAGCAGCTCCTGCTGCTGCTTGGCCCTCTGCTGCTGCAGCTCCTGCTGCCGCTGCTGCTGCATCAGCTGTTCACTGAGCTGCTGTTGCTGAAGCAATTCCTGCTGCTGCTGCTGCTTCAGTTGCTCCTGAATCTGCTGCTGTTGCTGCTGCAGTCTCTGCTGCTGCAGCTCTTGCTGCTGTTGCAGCTCCTGCTGCTGCTTCTGCTTCATTTCCTGCTGCTTTTGCTGGAGTTGCTGCTGGAGTTGCTG